ATATTAAAATATCCTAGATAGTTATTTTGTTGCCAAAAATACCATAAACGTTTGTTCTGTATATCAATGTGTCTGACAATTAAATTGACCATAATGAACACAATATGGGATTTTCATGCTAATGCTAGGACTGTACTTTAGCACGATTCTTAATGTTATTCTATGGGTAGTGTTAATCTTATGGAAATAATATTCAGTTTCTATAGATAGTGGCAATGCATACAAAGAATCGGTTTATAACAGCTATTTAAAAAAAATCTAAATTCAAAACTATATCAATATAATTGTGATTAAATTAAATTTTAATCATTAAATGATCATCTTGCTTTTAGTGTACTGTACATTGTTCAAACAAAACTTCTACATCTAGAAACTAACCATTATTTCATATAATAATGCATCTAGGTTCAATAATCTAAATGTATTGTTTTAGTATCGTATGAGTCATGTGTTATAAAACTTTAAATATGTATTAAATGGTCTCTAAAACTATGAATACAGTCATAAATGAGCGCAAAATTAAGTGACAATCAATTGAACCGATTGTGAGACTAATAACTATAGCCACCAATAGATGGCATTCAGAGCACAGTTTGTATTGCAATCAACGCAATGCTATTGACACGCATTGGGCGCCAAATGTAACCCTTGTTTGCAAATCAAATCACATTCTGTTATGTAATCAATACAATCAACACGTCTTCGCAACAACACATCCAATACTCTGACCAATCGTTGTCTCAATCGCTACCACAACCAGAGGAAGACAATGACTGTGGAACCGCTGACCATCGATGGCTTTCAAGTGCTATTCCCATTCAAACCATACGATATTCAAGTGGAGTACATGAAGAGTGTTATCCAATGTCTTCAACAGGTCTGTGTCCACTCTTACCACACATATGTCTTAACCATTATCTTAGCCGTAATAATGGTCTACGGATTAGGTTCAGGGATTAGCCGCTGATTAACCCCTTATTGGATTAAGTCCTACACATTATTATGCAATAGTTGTGATGCAATGCAATAGTCGGGGCAAAGGGTTGGGATCGGGAGGGCTGTTAACCCGTGGATCAGTTGACAGTCGATTGTAATGATTATCTTTATATGTATTTTACACAGAAATCCAATGGTCTTCTGGAGAGCCCGACGGGAACGGGAAAAACGCTATGCATTTTGTGCGCAACACTCGGATGGCTGGACAAGAAACGGATGGACACATTCAGACGGGTGGCGGCCGCGAAGACGGGCACCG